CACTCTTATTTTATTTATTTATTTGGAGGATAAGCCCCTAGAGATGAAACATCTCGTTTTCGAGGGGGTCCTCAAAAAGGTAACAGAGGTGACAGATACAATGCAATACAATAAAGTAAACAATAAAGACAAAGGACAAAAAGCAACAATAAACAATACTCACACAAAACAAACTCACACACACACACACTCACACACACACACGCACACACACACACGCACACACACACACACGCACACACACACACGCACACACACACACACGCACACACACACACACACTCACACACAATGACTGTTGTAAATATATTTGATGCAGACAATAAATAGTGAAAATACTAAACTTATTAATATTAAAGGCAGTAAACATAGGATTATGAACCCAAAATCAAAAACAATGACACTGATTTTGGAGATTTGGCACAAGAGCATTCTTAAACTGAGCCAGAGAACTGAAAGAGCGAACAGATGAGGGCAAACTGTTCCAATCAGACGGTGCTTTACATTTAAATGCATGTTTCCCGACTTCTTTTTTCAATCTTGGGACTGAAAAAAAGGACTGATTTGCATGACGCAAACTGTAGGAGGATTGAAAAGGAATCAAATATTGTTTTAAATTGTCAGGAAAACTAAGATTAATACATTTAAAAATAAATAATAGCCAATGTAGCTGACATCTGGAGGACAGAGAGAGCCAGGAAAGCTGCTCGTACAGAAGGCAGTGGTGTGTTCTAAAGGGACAGCAGAGAATGAACCTGCACAGGCTGTGGCAGGTGACGTTCAGGGGCTGGAGGACAGAGACAGTAGTGCGTTCTAAAGGGACGGAGAATGAACCTGCACAGGCTGTGGCAGGTGACGTTCAGGGGCTGGAGGACAGAGACAGTAGTGCGTTCTAAAGGGACAGAGAATGAACCTGCACAGGCTGTGGCAGGTGACGTTCAGGGGCTGGAGGACAGAGGCAGTAGTGCGTTCTAAAGGGACGGAGAATGAACCTGCACAGGCTGTGGCAGGTGACGTTCAGGGGCTGGAGGACAGAGACAGTAGTGCGTTCTAAAGGGACAGAGAATGAACCTGCACAGGCTGTGGCAGGTGACGTTCAGGGGCTGGAGGACAGAGGCAGTAGTGCGTTCTAAAGGGACAGAGAATGAACCTGCAGTTTATGTAAAAATCACCTAATATGATGAGTTCATTGTTATTGCCTAGGGATGAGAGAGTAGAGAGAATGTTTTTTACTGAGTCGGATGGAGAGTTAGGCGGTCTGTAGATATTGCCAATGATGAGATGTTTGTTTTCATGAAGAATTAAATTAACAAATATAGCCTCAAACTGTGTTGGTTTCTCTGTGGGTGAAATCAGATGTGAGTGAAAAGTAGATAAAATGTAAGTGGCGACTCCTCCTCCTCTGGAATCTCTGTCTGCTCTGTACAATGTGTGTCCAAATGAATGACATTGTCAGAAATGCCAGGAGAGAGCCATGTTTCAGATATTGTAATAACAGAGGGCGTATTGTAGGTTACCCAGGCACGAAGCAGATTGATTTTAGGTAGCAGACTCCTAATGTTGGGCGTGTGGACTGGGTCGCCGAGGTCTCCGCCTTCGAATGCTGCCCAGTCCTCTCTGCACCATGCCACCACGGACCCCTCTGCAGGTGGTGGGCCCACAGGAGGGACTGCCCACGTCATCCCTTCGGGCTGAGCCCGGCCGGGCCCCGTGGGCTAAGGCCCGGCCACCAGGCGCTCGCTTGCGAGCCCCGACCCCAGGCCTGGCTCCAGGGTGGGGCCCCGGCTGCGCCATGCCGGGCGACGTCACGGTTTTCGTTGTCGTGCTGTCCATGGTTGGCTTCGGACATCGCGGATACAAGCGTCGAAATAAGCTTCCTCCGCAGAGTGGCTGGGCGCTCCCTTAGAGATAGGGTGAGGAGCTCAGTCACACGGGAGGAGCTCGGAGTAGAGCCGCTGCTTCTCCACGTCGAGAGGAACCAGTTGAGGTGGCTCGGGCATCTGTTCAGGATGCCTCCTGGACGCCTTCCTGGGGAGGTGTTCCCGGCACGTCCCACCGGGAGGAGGCCCCGGGGAAGACCCAGGACACGCTGGAGGGACTATGTCTCTCAGCTGGCCTGGGAACGCCTTGGGGTCCCCCCGGACGAGCTGGAGGAAGTGTGTGTGGATAGGGAAGTCTGGGCGTCTCTGCTTAGACTGCTGCCCCCGCGACCCGGCAACGGATAAAGCGGAAGAAAATGAATGGATGGATGGATGGACTCCTAATGTTCACATGAATAATTTTAATACCATTAACCATACTTAATGAAAGAGAAGAAGTTAGAGAAAAAATAGTGTAGAGAAAATGAATATAATAGCAACCAGTCAATAACATTTACATTCATACACACAAAAACATGCATACTCAAGCATACAAAAGCAATAACACGCACACAAAACAAAAATAGCTTGAAATTGCGGTATCTGTCAGGGAAAATCATAGTGTCCTTACAGAAAAACAAACAGGCAAACAAACCCCAAACCCCCATTCTGGAGTCCCCAACTCAAAAAATAAAAATATAGTTAACAGCTCACAGCGATTGTACACAATCAGTGAGTCTATGGTCCTTGTGAAATGTTTTAAAAACAATATAAAGCTGATCAAACAGAGAGGAGTCAAGCAGCGAACCAGACACCCCGGCGCCATCTTTCTTGTGAGTCTGAGTGAGTCTGAGTGAGTCTTAGTGAGCTGGAGTGAGTCGGAGTGAGTCGGAGTGAGTCGGAGTGAGTCGGAGTGAGTCGGAGTGAGTCGTAGTGAGTCGGAGTGAGTCGTAGTGAGTCGGAGTGAGTCGGAGTGAGTCGGAGTGAGTCGTAGTGAGTCGGAGTGAGTCGTAGTGAGTCAGAGTGAGTCGGAGTGAGTCGGAGTGAGTCGGAGTGAGTCTGAGTGAGTCGGAGTGAGTCGGAGTGAGTCAGAGTGAGTCGGAGTGAGTCGGAGTGAGTCAGAGTGAGTCGTAGTGAGTTGTAGTGAGTCGGAGTGAGTCTGAGTAAGTCGTAGTGAGTCGGAGTGAGTCGGAGTGAGTCGTAGTGAGTCGGAGTGAGTTGTAGTGAGTCTGAGTGAGTCGTAGTGAGTCAGAGTGAGTCGTAGTGAGTCGTAGTGAGTCGTAGTGAGTCTGAGTGAGTCGTAGTGAGTCTGAGTGAGTCGTAGTGAGTCGGAGTGAGTCAGAGTGAGTTGTAGTGAGTCAGAGTGAGTTGTAGTGAGTCAGAGTGAGTCGGAGTGAGTCGGAGTGAGTCGTAGTGAGTCGGAGTGAGTCAAAGTGAGTCGTACTGAGACGGAGTGAGTCGGAGTGAGTCGGAGTGAGTCGGAGTGAGTCGGAGTGAGTCGGAGTGAGTCGGAGTGAGTCGGAGTGAGTCGGAGTGAGTCGGAGTGAGTCGTAGTGAGTCGGAGTGAGTCGGAGTGAGTCGGAGTGAGTCGGAGTGAGTCGGAGTGAGTTGTAGTGAGTCGTAGTGAGTCGTACTGAGTCGTACTGAGTCGGAGTGAGTCGGAGTGAGTCGGAGTGAGTCGTAGTGAGTCGTAGTGAGTCGGAGTGAGTCGGAGTGAGTCATAGTGAGTCGAAGTGAGTCGTAGTGAGTCGTAGTGAGTCGGAGTGAGTCAGAGTGAGTCGGAGTGAGTCGGAGTGAGTCGGAGTGAGTCGGAGTGAGTTGTAGTGAGTCGGAGTGAGTCGGAGTGAGTCGGAGTGAGTCGGAGTGAGTCGAAGTGAGTCGGAGTGAGTCGGAGTGAGTCGTAGTGAGTCTGAATGAGTCGTAGTGAGTCAGAGTGAGTTGTAGTGAGTCAGAGTGAGTCGGAGTGAGTCGGAGTGAGTCGGAGTGAGTCGTAGTGAGTCGGAGTGAGTCGGAGTGAGTCGTAGTGAGTCTGAGTGAGTCGTAGTGAGTCGTAGTGAGTCGTAGTGAGTCGGAGTGAGTTGTAGTGAGTCAGAGTGAGTTGTAGTGAGTCAGAGTGAGTCGGAGTGAGTCGGAGTGAGTCATAGTGAGTCGAAGTGAGTCGGAGTGAGTCGGAGTGAGTCGTAGTGAGTCAGAGTGAGTTGTAGTGAGTCAGAGTGAGTTGTAGTGAGTCGGAGTGAGTCGGAGTGAGTCGGAGTGAGTCAGAGTGAGTCGTAGTGAGTCGGAGTGAGTCGGAGTGAGTCGGAGTGAGTCAGAGTGAGTTGTAGTGAGTCAGAGTGAGTTGTAGTGAGTCGGAGTGAGTCGTAGTGAGTCGGAGTGAGTGAGAGTGAGTTGTAGTGAGTCAGAGTGAGTTGTAGTGAGTCAGAGTGAGTTGTAGTGAGTCGGAGTGAGTCGTAGTGAGTCGTAGTGAGTCGTAGTGAGTCGGAGTGAGTCGTAGTGAGTCGTAGTGAGTCGGAGTGAGTCGGAGTGAGTCGTAGTGAGTCGGAGTGAGTCGTAGTGAGTCGTAGTGAGTCGGAGTGAGTCGTAGTGAGTCGTAGTGAGTCGGAGTGAGTCGTAGTGAGTCAGAGTGAGTCGTAGTGAGTCGGAGTGAGTCGTAGTGAGTCGTAGTGAGTCGTAGTGAGTCGTAGTGAGTTGTAGTGAGTCAGAGTGAGTCGAGTGAGTCGGAGAGAGAATTGGGCCGAGTCAGGCTGGGGTTTAGTTGATCTTTAAGTGTGACCAAAAACTCGTATTACCGGCCCCACAGACAGAGAAACACAGAAAAACACAGAGTAACACAGAGAAACACAGAGTAACACAGAGACACACAGAGACACACAGAGACACACAGAGTAACACAGAGACACACAGAGACACACAGAGTAACAAAGAGACACACAGAGACACACAGAGTAACACAGAGTAACACAGAGAAACACAGAGACACACAGAGAAACACAGAGACACACAGAGTAACACAGAGACACACAGAGTTACAAATGCTTTTATTGACAGAAGTGTGAAATGTTGAGCTGATATTAGGGTCAGGACTGAGGGTCAGAGGTCAGGGGTCAGGAGGCACAGGGGTCAGAGGTCAGGGCTGAGGCTTCACTCCACTCCTTTCATGAACTCCAAGAACTCTGGAAACACAGAGACACAGAGTCAGAGACAGAGGCAGAGAGAGATACAGAGGCAGAGGCAGAGAGAGATACAGAGGCAGAGGCAGAGGCAGAGGCAGAGACAGAGGCAGAGGCAGAGGCAGAGGCAGAGAGAGATACAGAGGCAGAGGCAGAGGCAGAGGCAGAGACAGAGGCAGAGACAGAGACAGAGACAGAGGCAGAGACAGAGGCAGAGACAGAGACAGAGACAGAGGCAGAGACAGAGACAGAGGCAGAGTCAGAGAGAGATACAAAGGCAGAGGCAGAGACAGAGGCAGAGACAGAAGCAGAGGACAGAGAGAGACAGAGGCAGAGACAGAAGCAGAGGACAGAGGACAGAGAGAGACAGAGACAGAGGCAGAGGACAGAGGACAGAGGCAGAGGCAGAGACAGAGACAGAGACAGAGACAGAGTCAGAGGCAGAGACAGAGACAGAGGCAGAGACAGAGACAGAGACAGAGTCAGAGGCAGAGACAGAGACAGAGGCAGAGACAGAGACAGAGTCAGAGTCAGAGGCAGAGACAGAGACAGAGACAGAGACAGAGACAGAGGCAGAGACAGAGACAGAGTCAGAGGCAGAGGCAGAGACAGAGACAGAGACAGAGTCAGAGACAGAGTCAGAGACAGAGGCAGAGACAGAGACAGAGACAGAGTCAGAGACAGAGTCAGAGGCAGAGGCAGAGAGAGAGACAGAGGCAGAGGCAGAGGCAGAGACAGAGGCAGAGACAGAGGCAGAGGCAGAGACAGAGACAGAGACAGAGGCAGAGACAGAGAGAGAGACAGAGGCAGAGGCAGAGGCAGAGACAGAGACAGAGACAGAGGCAGAGGCAGAGACAGAGGCAGAGACAGAGGCAGAGGCAGAGACAGAGAGAGATACAGAGGCAGAGGCAGAGACAGAGGCAGAGACAGAAGCAGAGGACAGAGGACAGAGAGAGATAGAGGCAGAGACAGAAGCAGAGGACAGAGGACAGAGAGAGACAGAGACAGAGGCAGAGGACAGAGGACAGAGGCAGAGGCAGAGACAGAGACAGAGACAGAGACAGAGTCAGAGGCAGAGACAGAGACAGAGTCAGAGGCAGAGACAGAGACAGAGTCAGAGACAGAGGCAGAGACAGAGGCAGAGGCAGAGACAGAGTCAGAGGCAGAGACAGAGTCAGAGGCAGAGACAGAGACAGAGACAGAGACAGAGACAGAGACAGAGACAGAGTCAGAGTCAGAGTCAGAGGCAGAGACAGAGTCAGAGGCAGAGACAGAGACAGAGACAGAGACAGAGACAGAGACAGAGTCAGAGACAGAGTCAGAGACAGAGTCAGAGACAGAGTCAGAGGACAGAGGCAGAGACAGAGTCAGAGGACAGAGGCAGAGGCAGAGGCAGAGACAGAGGCAGAGGCAGAGGACAGAGACAGAGGACAGAGGCAGAGACAGAGACAGAGGCAGAGACAGAGGCAGAGACAGAGACAGAGGCAGAGACAGAGACAGAGCAGAGGCAGAGACAGAGACAGAGACAGAGGCAGAGGCAGAGGCAGAGGCAGAGGCAGAGGCAGAGGCAGAGACAGAGACAGAGACAGAGACAGAGGCAGGGACAGAGGCAGGGACAGAGGCAGAGACAGAGACAGAGACAGAGACAGAGGCAGGGACAGAGGCAGAGGCAGAGACAGAGACAGAGACAGAGGCAGAGGCAGAGACAGAGACAGAGGCAGAGGCAGAGGCAGAGACAGAGGCAGAGACAGAGACAGAGGCAGAGGACAGAGGCAGAGACAGAGGCAGAGACAGAGACAGAGACAGAGACAGAGGCAGAGACAGAGGCAGAGGCAGAGACAGAGACAGAGGAGCAGAGGCAGAGGCAGAGACAGAGGCAGAGACAGAGGACAGAGACAGAGACAGAGGGCAGAGGCAGAGACAGAGACAGAGGCAGAGACAGAGGCAGAGACAGAGACAGAGACAGAGACAGAGGCAGAGACAGAGGCAGAGGCAGAGACAGAGACAGAGACAGAGACAGAGACAGAGACAGAGGCAGAGACAGAGACAGAGACAGAGGCAGAGGCAGAGACAGAGACAGAGACAGAGACAGAGACAGAGGCAGAGACAGAGACAGAGACAGAGCAGAGGCAGAGGCAGAGGAGACAGAGACAGAGACAGAGACAGAGACAGAGGGCAGAGGCAGAGGCAGAGACAGAGGCAGAGACAGAGGCAGAGACAGAGACAGAGACAGAGGCAGAGGCAGAGACAGAGACAGAGACAGAGGCAGAGACAGAGACAGAGACAGAGACAGAGACAGAGACAGAGACAGAGACAGAGACAGAGGCGAGGCAGAGACAGAGGCAGAGGCAGAGGCAGAGACAGAGGCAGAGGACAGAGGACAGAGGCAGAGACAGAGACAGAGACAGAGACAGAGACAGAGACAGAGGCAGAGGCAGAGACAGAGACAGAGACAGAGGCAGAGGCAGAGGCAGAGGCAGAGACAGAGACAGAGACAGAGACAGAGGCAGAGACAGAGGCAGAGGGAGCAGAGGCAGAGACAGAGACAGAGACAGAGACAGGACAGAGGCAGAGGCAGAGGCAGAGGCAGAGACAGAGACAGAGACAGAGGCAGAGACAGAGGCAGAGGCAGAGACAGAGACAGAGACAGAGACAGAGACAGAGACAGAGAGGCAGAGGCAGAGACAGAGGCAGAGACAGAGACAGAGACAGAGACAGAGGCAGAGACAGAGGCAGAGGCAGAGACAGAGGCAGAGACAGAGACAGAGGCAGAGGCAGAGACAGAGACAGAGACAGAGGCAGAGACAGAGGACAGAGGCAGAGACAGAGACAGAGGCAGAGGCAGAGGCAGAGACAGAGGCAGAGACAGAGACAGAGCCAGGACAGAGACAGAGACAGAGACAGAGACAGAGACAGAGAACAGAGGCAGAGACAGAGGCAGGAGACAGAGACAGAGACAGAGACAGAGACAGAGGCAGAGACAGAGGCAGAGGACAGAGGGCAGAGACAGAGACAGAGACAGAGACAGAGACAGAGGCAGAGACAGAGGCAGAGACAGAGACAGAGGACAGAGACAGAGACAGAGACAGAGACAGAGACAGAGGCAGAGACAGAGCAGAGACAGAGGCAGAGGCAGAGACAGAGACAGAGACAGAGGCAGAGGCAGAGACAGAGACAGAGACAGAGACAGAGGACAGAGACAGAGGCAGAGGACAGAGGCAGAGACAGAGACAGAGGCAGAGACAGAGGCAGAGGCAGAGACAGAGGACAGAGACAGAGACAGAGACAGAGACAGAGGCAGAGACAGAGGACAGAGGCAGAGACAGAGGCAGAGGCAGAGGCAGAGACAGAGACAGAGACAGAGGCAGAGACAGAGGCAGAGACAGAGACAGAGACAGAGGCAGAGGCAGAGACAGAGGCAGAGACAGAGGCAGAGACAGAGACAGAGGCAGAGGCAGAGACAGAGACAGAGACAGAGGCAGAGACAGAGGACAGAGACAGAGACAGAGGCAGAGACAGAGGCAGAGACAGAGACAGAGGCAGGACAGAGGCAGAGGCAGAGACAGAGACAGAGACAGAGGCAGAGGCAGAGGCAGAGACAGAGGCAGAGGCAGAGGCAGAGGCAGAGACAGAGACAGAGACAGGCAGAGACAGAGACTGAGACAGAGGCAGAGACAGAGGCAGAGACAGAGACAGAGACAGAGGCAGAGGCAGAGGCAGAGGCAGAGGCAGAGGCAGAGGCAGAGCAGAGGCAGAGGAGCAGAGGCAGAGGCAGAGGCAGAGGCAGAGCAGAGACAGAGACAGAGACAGAGGAACAGAGGACAGAGGCAGAGGCAGAGGCAGAGACAGAGACAGAGGCAGAGACAGAGGCAGAGGCAGAGACAGAGGCAGAGGACAGAGAGAGACAGAGGCAGAGACAGAGGCAGTGACAGAGGCAGAGACAGAGACAGAGGCAGAGGAGGCAGAGACAGAGGCAGAGACAGAGACAGAGGCAGAGACAGAGGCAGAGGCAGAGGCAGAGACAGAGGCAGAGACAGGCAGGACAGAGGCAGAGGCAGAGACATAGGCAGAGACAGAGGACAGAGGCAGAGAGAGGCAGAGACAGAGGACAGAGGACAGAGACAGAGACAGAGGCAGAGGCAGAGACAGAGGCAGAGGCAGAGACAGAGACAGAGGACAGAGGCAGAGACAGAGGCAGAGACAGAGACAGAGACAGAGACAGAGACAGAGGCAGAGACAGAGGCAGAGGCAGAGGACAGAGACAGAGGCAGAGACAGAGGCAGAGGCAGAGGACAGAGACAGAGGCAGAGGCAGAGACAGAGACAGAGGCAGAGACAGAGGCAGAGACAGAGACAGAGGCAGAGGCAGAGGACAGAGGCAGAGACAGAGGCAGAGACAGATGTGTTCACTGTGAGCTGTGTTTCACTACTGAGCCTGTTTCACTATGTGCCTGTGTTCATATGGAGCCTGTGTTCACTGCTGAGCCTGTGTATACTACTGAGCTGTGTTCACTACTGAGCCTTTGTCACTGCTGAGCCTGTGTTCACTCCTGAGCCTGTTGTGTTCACTCTGAGCCTGTGTTCACTACTGAGCCTGTGTTCACTGCGAGTGTCGTTCACTATGAGCCTGTGTTCACTACTGAGCCTGTGTTCACTTGAGCCTGTGTTCACTGCTGAGCCTGTGTTCACTACTGAGCCTGTGTTCACTATGAGACCTGTGTTCATGCTGAGAGACAGAGAGGAGGTGTCAGAGGTGTTCACTGCTGAGCCTGTCAGAGTCAGAGGACAGAGGCAGAGACAGTTCCTCTGTGATCACCGTCGTAGTCGATTCTTCCGTCGTTGTTCTTGTCTCCGTCCTTCATGAGTTCTTCGATGTCGTCTTCAGTGATGGGTTCTCCAGTCGACTGCAGCATCGTCTTCAGCTCCTCCAGATCGATGTATCCATCTCCATTTCTGCATCACACCATACTCTGAACCTACAAGCCAGGGTCTACAGCCTCAGTTCTGGGTCTACAGCCTCAGCCCTGGGTCTACAGCCTCAGTTCTGGGTCTACAGCCTCAGCCCTGGGTCTACAGCCTCAGTTCTGGGTCTACAGCCTCAGCCCTGGGTCTACAGCCTCAGTTCTGGGTCTACAGCCTCAGTCCTGGGTCTACAGCCTCAGTCCTGGGTCTACAGCCTCAGTCCTGGGTCTACAGCCTCAGTTCTGGGTCTACGGCCTCAGTCCTGGGTCTACAGCCTCAGTCCTGGGTCTACAGCCTCAGTCCTGGGTCTACAGCCTCAGTCCTGGGTCTACAGCCTCAGTCCTGGGTCTACAGCCTCAGTCCTGGGTCTACAGCCTCAGACTCACTTGTCGAACATCCGGAACAGCTCTGCCAGCTCCTCCTCTGCCTTCCCTTTGCTCTCCTCCTTCATGCAGCGAACCATCATCAGCAGGAACTCATCAAAGTCCACAGTCCCACTGCCTGAGGGAAGTGCTCAGGGTTAGAGTCTGAGAGAAGTGCTCAGGGTTAGAGTCTGAGAGAAGTGCTCAGGGTTAGAAAGTCCTGAACCTTAGAGAGTCCTGAACCTTAGAGTCCTGAACCTTAGAGAGTCCTGAACCTTAGAGTCCTGAACCTTAGAGAGTCCTGAACCTTAGAGAGTCCTGAACCTTAGAGAGTCCTGAACCTTAGAGTCCTGAACCTTAGAGAGTCCTGAACCTCAGAGAGTCCTGAACCTTAGAGTCCTGAACCTTAGAGAGTCCTGGACCTTAGAGTCCTGAACCTTAGAGAGTCCTAATCCTTAGAGAGTCCTGAACCTTAGAGAATCCTGAACCTCAGAGTCCTGAACCTTAGAGTCCTGAACCTTAGAGTCCTGAACCTTAGAGAGTCCTGAACCTTAGAGTCCTGAACCTTAGAGAATCCTGAACCTTAGAGTCCTGAACCTTAGAGTCCTGAACCTTAGAGAGTCCTGACCCTTAGAGAGTCCTGAACCTTAGAGAGTCCTGAACCTTAGAGAGTCCTGAACCTTAGAGAGTCCTGAACCTTAGAGTCCTGAACCTTAGAGTCCTGAACCTTAGAGAGTCCTGAACCTTAGAGAGAACCGGAACCTTAGAGAGTCCTGGACCTTAGAGTCCTGAACCTTAGAGAGTCCTGAACCTTAGAGATTCCTGAACCGTAGAGAGTCCTGAACCTTAGAGAGTCCTGAACCCTAGAGTGCTGAACCTTAGAGAGTCCTGAACCTTAGAGAATCCTGAACCTTAGAGTCCTGAACCTTAGAGTTCTGAACCTTAGAGAGTCCTGAACCTTAGAGAGTTCTGAACCTTAGAGAGTCCTGAACCTTAGAGAGTCCTGAACCTTAGAGTCCTGAACCTTCGAGAGTCCTGAACCTTGGAGTCCTGAACCTTAGAGTCCTGAACCTTAGAGTCCTGAACCTTAGAGAGTCCTGAACCTTCGAGAGTCCTGAACCTTGGAGTCCTGAACCTTAGAGTCCTGAACCTTAGAGAGTCCTGAACCTTAGAGTCCTTAACCTTAGAGAGTCCTGAACCTTAGAGAGTCCTGAACCTTCGAGAGTCCTGAACCTTCGAGTCCTGAACCTTAGAGAGTCCTGAACCTTAGAGAGTCCTGAACCTTAGAGTCCTGAACCTTAGAGAGTCCTGAACCTTAGAGTCCTGAACCTTAGAGAGTCCTGAACCTTCGAGTCCTGAACCTTAGAGAGCCCTGAACCTTAGAGTCCTGAACCTTAGAGTCCTGAACCTTAGCGTCCTGAACCTTAGAGCGTCCTGAACCTTAGAGCGTCCTGAACCTTAGAGCGTCCTGAACCTTAGACTCTTGCTGGGGCCTGTGCCACACGTTGCTTCTAAGCACTGATTACAGATGAAATCCACCTGCTGGGGTTTAGCTAGACCACTGTGTTATGACTGAACAAACTCAGGCAGTCGCTGAACGTCACTGTTCATTCTTTTACTGTTTCTTTTTTCCTAGATTAAAGTTTCACGACTAAAGTTATTGTTCAGTTTCATCGTCTTTTCTTACTTTTGGTGAATGTGTCTTTTGTAGTATTTTAAATATTTATTTTTAAAGTGATTCTTTCCTGATCTTTGATAACGGGCTTTTTTAAGAGAACAGACTTTATAACGGTGTGTTTTTAAAAGTTTCACAGAGTCTGTCGTTGGACTGGGCGGCACGGTGGCTGAGTGGTTAGCACTCTCGCTTCTCAGCAAGGAGGTCCTGGGTTCGAATCCCGGTCGTAACAGGGCCTTTCTGAGTGTAGTTTGCATGTTCTCCACGTGTCTGCGTAGGTGTCCTCCGGGTGCTCCGGTTTCCTCTACCACTTTAAACATGCACAAAAGCTGTGGCCTCTGTGTGGATCAGAGACTGATGCAACAACTGTAACAAGTGTAAACCGCTCTGACTCTGGTCTGAGAAAGGTCTTTATAAACTAATATTACTCATTTTATTGAAATTCAAATATATTCAAAGATGTTTTAGTATTTTGACCAATAAATGGTTCTAAAATCTCCCTGATGTGGTTCACTACTGAGCCTGTGTTCACTACTGAGCCTGTGTTCACTGCTGAGCCTGTGTTCACTACTGAGCCTGTGTTCACTACTGAGCCTGTGTTCACTACTGAGCCTGTGTTCACTGCTGAGCCTGTGTTCACTACTGAGCCTGTGTTCACTACTGAGCCTGTGTTCACTACTGAGCCTGTGTTCACTACTGAGCCTGTGTTCACTGCTGAGCCTGTGTTCACTACTGAGCCTATGTTCACTACTGAGCCTGTGTTCACTACTGAGCCTGTGTTCACTGCTGAGCCTGTGTTCACTACTGAGCCTGTGTTCACTACTGAGCCTGTGTTCACTGCTGAGCCTGTGTTCACTACTGAGCCTGTGTTCACTACTGAGCCTGTGTTCACTACTGAGCCTGTGTTCACTGCTGAGCCTGTGTTCACTACTGAGCCTGTGTTCACTACTGAGCCTGTGTTCACTACTGAGCCTGTGTTCACTGCTGAGCCTGTGTTCACTACTGAGCCTGTGTTCACTACTGAGCCTGTGTTCACTGCTGAGCCTGTGTTCACTACTGAGCCTGTGTTCACTACTGAGCCTGTGTTCACTACTGAGCCTGTGTTCACTGCTGAGCCTGTGTTCACTACTGAGCCTGTGTTCACTACTGAGCCTGTGTTCACTACTGAGCCTGTGTTCACTGCTGAGCCTGTGTTCACTACTGAGCCTGTGTTCACTACTGAGCCTGTGTTCACTGCTGAGCCTGTGTTCACTGCTGAGCCTGTGTTCACTACTGAGCCTGTGTTCACTACTGAGCCTGTGTTCACTACTGATCCTGTGTTCACTGCTGAGCCTGTGTTCACTGATGAGCCTGTGTTCACTACTGAGCCTGTGTTCACTACTGAGCCTGTGTTCACTACTGAGCCTGTGTTCACTACTGAGCCTGTGTTCACTGCTGAGCCTGTGTTCACTACTGAGCCTGTGTTCACTGCTGAGCCTGTGTTCACTGCTGAGCCTGTGTTCATTACTGAGCCTGTGTTCACTACTGAGCCTTCACTACTGAGCCTGTGTTCACTACTGAGCCTGTGTTCACTACTGAGCCTGTGTTCACTACTGAGCCTGTTCACTGCTGAGCTGTGTCACTGCTGAGCCTGTGTTCACTACTGAGCCTGTGTTCACTACTGAGCCTGTGTTCACTACTGAGCCTGTGTTCACTCTGAGCCTGTGTTCACTGCTGAGCCTGTGTTCACTACTGAGCCTGTGTTCACTACTGAGCCTGTGTTCACTACTGAGCCTGTGTTCACTGCTGAGCCTGTGTTCACTACTGAGCCTGTGTTCACTACTGAGCCTGTGTTCACTGCTGAGCCTGTGTTCACTACTGAGCCTGTGTTCACTACTGAGCCTGTGTTCACTACTGAGCCTGTGTTCACTGCTGAGCCTGTGTTCACTACTGAGCCTGTGTTCACTACTGAGCCTGTGTTCACTACTGAGCCTGTGTTCACTGCTGAGCCTGTGTTCACTACTGAGCCTGTGTTCACTACTGAGCCTGTGTTCACTGCTGAGCCTGTGTTCACTACTGAGCCTGTGTTCACTACTGAGCCTGTGTTCACTACTGAGCCTGTGTTCACTGCTGAGCCTGTGTTCACTACTGAGCCTGTGTTCACTACTGAGCCTGTGTTCACTACTGAGCCTGTGTTCACTACTGAGCCTGTGTTCACTGCTGAGCCTGTGTTCACTACTGAGCCTGTGTTCACTACTGAGCCTGTGTTCACTGCTGAGCCTGTGTTCACTGCTGAGCCTGTGTTCACTACTGAGCCTGTGTTCACTACTGAGCCTGTGTTCACTACTGATCCTGTGTTCACTGCTGAGCCTGTGTTCACTGATGAGCCTGTGTTCACTACTGAGCCTGTGTTCACTACTGAGCCTGTGTTCACTACTGAGCCTGTGTTCACTACTGAGCCTGTGTTCACTGCTGAGCCTGTGTTCACTACTGAGCCTGTGTTCACTGCTGAGCCTGTGTTCACTGCTGAGCCTGTGTTCATTACTGAGCCTGTGTTCACTACTGAGCCTTCACTACTGAGCCTGTGTTCACTACTGAGCCTGTGTTCACTACTGAGCCTTCACTACTGAGCCTGTGTTCACTGCTGAGCCTGTGTTCACTACTGAGCCTGTGTTCACTACTGAGCCTGTGTTCACTACTGAGCCTGTGGTCACTGCTGAGCCTGTGTTCACTACTGAGCCTGTGTTCACTGCTGAGCCTGTGTTCACTACTGAGCCTGTGTTCACTGCTGAGCCTGTGTTCACTACTGACTGAGCTGTGTTCACTGCTGAGCCTGTGTTCACTACTGAGCCTGTGTTCACTACTACTGAGCCTGTGTTCACTACTGAGCCTGTGTTCACTGCTGAGCCTGTGTTCACTACTGAGCCTGTGTTCACTCTGAGCCTGTGTTCACTACTGAGCCTGTGTTCACTACTGAGCCTGTGTTCACTGCTGAGCTGTGTTCACTGCTGAGCCTGTGTTCACTGTGACTGTGTTCACTACTGAGCTGAGCCTGTGTTCACTACTGAGCCTGTGTTCACTACTGAGCCTGTGTTCACTACTGAGCCTGTGTTCACTACTGATCCTGTGTTCACTACTGAGCCTGTGTTCACTGCTGAGCCTGTGTTCACTACTGAGCCTGTGTTCACTGCTGAGCCTGTGTTCACTACTGAGCCTGTGTTCACTGCTGAGCCTGTGTTCACTACTGAGCCTGTGTTCACTACTGAGCCTGTGTTCACTGACTGAGCCTGTGTTCACTACTGAGCCTGTGTTCACTACTGAGCCTGTGTTCACTACTGAGCCTGTGTTCACTGCTGAGCCTGTGTTGCACTACTGAGCCTGTGTTCACTACTGAGCCTGTGTTCACTACTGAGCCTGTGTTCTCACTGCCTACTGAGCCTGTGTTCACTACTGAGCCTGTGTTCACTGCTGAGCCTGGCATGTGA